AAATCAGCAAATCTCCTTTTCTACCCTGGATATACTCAATATTGTTGGCGCTGCAAAATCTGAAGGAATAGAAACTGGGAACAGTAGGTAGGACCTTTAATTGTATGTATTTAGATTGAGGGCAAATTCTAGTAGACGCTAGAGGGCAGTGTAGAGCAAAGACTGAAAGCTTTTAAAATCACACCACAAGTTCAACATTTCCCAAGCATCTTCGGATCCGTGTAATTTGAATTTTTCGTAATCCGATGTGTGAAAAAAATATCCAGCTGCGCAGAAGTAGTTTGAACGGGTGTGGATGGAAAAACAACATCATTGGTCTGTGCAGACCAGAACAATTGTCATTCTATAATCCAGTATTAAAACAAAGACCTCCTGACCTTCTGATCCGACATGATGCCGTTAGCCTGCAGTGGAGCAGAGTGTCCGGTCAGCAGACCTCCCCCAGGCCGGTCGTGTTCGCAGAAAATCGTCCCGTTGATGTAATGAAAGCGATCGCCGGGGACCAGGCGGTTCCTGCAGGTGGCGCAAGTGAAACACTGTTGAAGAAACAAAGAAGAGTCAGGCATCAGGTGGTGATCACGGAGCAAACCGGGACGGTTAATTGGACGCCACCTACCTTCAGGTGATAAACGCTGCCTTGAGCTCGCATCACCATCTCACTGGCAGGTATGGACTGTCCACAGGCGCTGCAGGCTCCGCTGTGTCCAAAGAGTCTGCAGGAAGAACAGACATTTCTGGCTGTAACACTCTAATCCACATAAAGACACCAAGGTAACGGCTACACTCCAACACCACGGAAAACAAAAAGTCCGTCATTGAAACGTTTCTTGTCTAGATCAGGGCTAACCAATTAAAAACCAGTAGGGTCCAAATGAAGAAAATCATCAACCAGTAAAGGTCTGGAGACATTTTTAATTATAATCTGTTACTTTAAACAGAATTTAACAATGAAATAAAATGAGGTATTTATTCATCCATGTTAGGGAAGCGGCTGTATCAACTGTTGCATTTCCAAATTCTTCCGAGTGGTGCCCGACTTTACACGAGTGAATTAGACACTGTCGTCGGACAACATGCGGTAATTTATAAATGTTTTAAATTTAGGTTGGGTCCGGATTAGCTAGCCAGGAGGTCCAGATCCGGACCACGGTCCGCTACTCTTTGACCTCTGGTGTAGACTTTGACTAGGCCGTTATAACATCTTGATTTCTGAATCTTCAGTCATCAGATCTGCTGTGTTTGAGAACTTTGTCCTAACTAAATGAAAATCTCTGTTGGATAATGTTTCCCACTCCATGCATGAAGCTGGTGCTGAACTGGAGAGCTCCTTCAGTGACAGACTGCTGC